CTCCCGGCGCGGCTCGCTCGCCCTCCCCCTCGCTCTCTCGCTCGCTCCGCCCTCGAGGCCAGACGATCAGGGAGGGGCGGGGGGCGGCGTGCCGGGCCCCAGCCGGGGCTCCTGCTTGCGGAGGGGAGGCGGCGGCAGCGAGCGGGCGGGCGGTTCAGCTCCCTCACTCGCGCTCCGCGCTCCAGCTCGCTGCTCTCTCTCCCTGAGCCGCCTCCTCCTCCACCTCCAGAAATCAACTTTTGATGTCAAGATCCACCTCTTCTTTTTAGGATGTATTTTGCTAAATTAAAAACACTATTTAAAATCTTAATGTTCATGGAAGTTGTTCTGTATTCACAGGAGAGATCCATACTCTTGTAGAAAAAAGGCCCTCAAATGGTAGACCTCTGAGCAGTCAGCAAGTAGGTTTAGGAATGCTGGCAAAGTAAGAGAAATCTACTATACGAATTGTTTTCAAAGGGGGTGTTACATATAGTAAGTCTAAAACTTAGTGTTAATTTTAAGCATAATACTAATTTTTATAAATATTTAAAGAAATACTGAATTTGATTTGGCAGGTTCCTTTTTATATTTCAGAGCCAGTAATCTCCCCTCTAGATTTCCAAAGATTTACATGTTTCTAGTACACTGGTCCTACAAAGCAGAGGATCCCAAGTAATATAGTAATCCTTTAAAAAACTGAGGTTGTTTAATAGTAAAGTCTGGTATTCTGTGTGGGGAAAAGTGGGAAGAATGCCAATCCACTGAGGTCTAAGAAATTGATTTTTGGTAGTGTATATTGTCCTGTAGTAACTATAGGAGCTTGTAAATGTAACTGAACACATCTGATATATAGGGCTTAGCTACGAGACTGGCAGTCCATGTCCAACTACCTTAAGAAGCTATGCAGTGCTGCTATTGTCAAAGATGTGTATCTCACTTCTTCAGGTCAGAGAAATATAATTCTACTATACACACCAAAATAATCGATTTTTTTAAAAAAATGTATTTGGTACAGGGTCTCACTCTGCCGCTCAGACTTATAGCGATCCTCTTGTTTTCAGCCTCCCCGACTCTGGGATTGGAGGCATGCACCACCACGCCCAATCTCAGCGGTGGTTCAGCGTGCCCAGGGGCAGGATGGGTGCAGCATGTGGTGCCTGGGATTGAACCCTGGTTGCTGCGCTTGCCTAAGTGGGCTCTTAGTCCTTGAATTCTGTTTTTAGCTATATGATAGATTAACATTTTTTTGAGAAGTAAATTATTTTAAAATTAGCAGATATAATAACTTATTCCTTCTTTTTAAAAAAATTTTATTTATTTATTTATATGTGTGTGTGTGGCCAGCTCAGCCCACCAGGGGGCGGGGCTGGCTGGCATGTGGTGCTGGGGGATTGAACCGTGGTCCCTGTGCTTTGCTAAGCTTGTTCTAAGTAGGTGCTTTAGACCACTGAGCCATCTCACCAGCCCCTTATTGCTTCTTTTTTAAGAGAGGAAAAGTACAAGAGAAAATTTTGCCTTAATGATAAATCTCAACATGGATACTGCCACAAGTTCTGGCCATCAGTGACACTGCCACCTGGTGATTCTGTTTGGAAAAATTTAGTTTTATCATGCACTTCCAAGTAAAAAAACAAAAGCCTATGCTGCCTAGGACTATTTACTCTCCATCTGAACACAGGCTGATTTTTTCTCAGATATATTATTAAGACTAAGTAATTGATACTAAGCATATCAAGGACATCTGTTTGAAAACAAACTTCATCTTGGCTCTTAAAGTTAATGAAGTAGCAGGAGCTATCAGATTCTCTATCCACTCAGGCAAAAGAAATATGATTTCAGAGTTCAACTAGTTAAATCAATATGTGTTTCAGGAGACACAGTGTCTAGCATGTCATTGGTAATAGTCATTTTCTTCTTGTAATAGATCTTACATTAATTAGTGGAATTAACACAGCTGAAGAAAGACTGTACCAATGGAAGGGGTGGTTGGTACAGAATATTCTCTATTAGAGATATAAACTTCATACCACAGCTGTAGCACTATCCAGAAGGGAAAGTTGTTGAAACCTGGGCATAGTAATGAAGTCCGTAAGAGAGTTAATCTTTGCTATGTATTAGGGATTTACCATCATCTCTCCCTATGGTTTGAATAAAATGCTCAAGATTATTTACTTCTTTTTGCTAAGTAATCTCCTGATAAATAATTCAGCTTCTTGGGCAACTTGAATCCTTGCATTATATTGCACACACAGACATTTCAGAAACTAGAAAGGGATGTCATTTTCTAAACTAACAAATTGTCCTTTCTTATATTTCCGTCAGTGAGAATTTATTCATTGTTCACCTATCACTTACTTATCATTTGATCATTTCAAAATGTAGTTACTAATAATGCAGTTCAATGTTGGAAGTCCAAAACTTTAGAGTGCTGTCCATGCACCAAGGTAAATGCTGTCTCCTGAGCCTTTTTAGCACATTTTCCTGTTGAAACTATTTCTTACCTTTCAGTGCATGCTTTTTCGAAGAAAAGGTATTGAATTAAAAATAAGTTTAAAGAGAACATTTATAGTATCAAATAGGAAAAAGGAGATTTTTGAAGAAAATCCACCATATTAACTATAAAAGAATATTTTCACGAAAAGAAAATACATAGTGATTATGAGAGAGCCCAGTGAGAACTGAAAAGTCTCAGTAAACTTTAGGAAACAAATACTAGGAAAGTCAATTTAAATATAAATTATAGTACTTTTATTAGGACAGATGAACGTGCTTACAATATGCAACAATAAGATAGGTAACTATACTTACAAATGTCCATTTCATAGCTCCATGATTTAGGAATTATGATGAAAATGACCAAAATTTAAATGCAATCAACACAATGACAACTCACGGACCATAGATCATCCCATGCTGCTTAGTTCTGTGCATGGTAGGTATCACATACTCAAGTCACGTCTTGTGAATGAATTATTTTTAAAAAATGGAAAAGAATACTTTCATATCATTAGTAAAAAAGGAGTGCTAATGCAAATAACACATCAATTTTCACTTGTTAGGTCAATAAGCACACAAAAGCCAGACAGGACCTTGAGTTAACCACAGTGTCAGACACAGTCATTTCCTAGCACTTTTGAGTGGAATTGGAGCTGGCACAATATTTGTGGAGGCTGAATCTGGAAACATGTTAAACAATGTAACCTGTAACAAGTAACTCCATCTTGAAAAATTTAAGAATGGATATTTATAAACATATGCATAGTATCTCACAAATTACAACTACTTAAATATGCAATATTGGAGTAAAAGTGAATTATTATATTTGCCCTCAGGATATTTATAGCCATTAATATATTTATAGATATATAATACTTTAGAATAATTATAATTATGTTTTTAAAGAATACATGTATTTTGCTTTTTTTTTTTTTTGGTGGAACCGGGGATTGAACTCAGGCCCTTGCGCTTGCCAGGGAAGTGCTTATTGCACTGAGCCATCTCCCCAGCCCAAGAATACATGTATTTTGTAGACTGCCTTTTCCTAGTAAACACATTCTAAAAGCAATTGTATTAATGAAAGGATACATAAAAAATTGAAGAGAAATAAAATGTCAAAGCTCCTTTTATAGCAGTTGACTAAGATAAACACTTGAGCAAAGGATGGAAATAGAAGTTATTCTTTGGGTAATAGTTTTAAAGTTCTTTTCTAACATTTATCTGTGAATTCAAAAAGTAGATTATATTTAAAAGATAACTGTATGTTCAGGAAATGTAGATTACTGTAAGAGAGCCATCAGGTTGACATTTTGGTCTTGGAAATTATAATAAAAATGGCATCAGATTCCCTTTTATACTGTATTTTTGTACCAGTTGAGCTGATTTTCTCTGATTGATTCTCAATAAAATTCTCTCAACCTACTTTATCTATTAGAAGAAGCACTTGCATCTAACTAAAATCTACTAATAAAGCATATCATCAGTTGGAATCCAAAGGCTTATTCATAATGTTGTTAGGATAACTTACCTTTTTGACTTCTTTACTTGATCTGAAAGTTTGCTGTACAAAAGAATCACTTTCAATAGCTTCAATTTCTTTAACTCTTTTTACTTGTTCTACCAGGGTGGCTTGGTCTAAAAAAAGAGTGTATTTTGGTGTAAGCATGTTAATAACACAACACCTAAACACTGTTTTTTTTCTAAGAACCTTTACTACTTATAAAATTTAAAAGGACTGGAGAGATAGCTCAGCGATCTAAGTGCCTGCCTGGTCAGCGCAAGGACCCAGGTTCAATCCCTGGTTCAATGCATTCCAAACTGGCCCTGTGCTGAGCCAACCACAGAGACTGGGCATAGTGGCAAATGCCTGTAATCCCAGCACAGGGGAGGCTGAGCCAGGAGGCTCATTACGAGTCCAAGCTGTGTAGTGAGACACTGTACCAAATAAAATTAAAAAAAAATAAATGATTAAAAAATTTAAAGGGATGAAAAGGTACATTTCAGCAATAAGAATAAATTTTTTTTCCTTTGAGATTCACAAATATAACATTCACAGGAACCAAGTGTCTCACCTAAAACCTAAAATATTGCTGAGAAGGCCCTGCTAATTACTTTTCTTTGTATTTTAGGAAAGGGTCTACAGGGTGTTCAGGGTCTCACTGAGTAGATCGGACCAGTAGTGATCCTCCTGTTTACAGCCTCCCAAGAGCTGGGATTACAGGTGCACGCCACTATGCCCAGTCTAAATTGCTGCCTCAGCGTGCCCCAGGGGTGGGGCCGGCATGGCAGGCAGGCCCGGAGATGAAACCTGCTGAGATATTTGGTCAGCCTGGCCCTGCTAATTACGATCTCAGTTAATCTAGGCCAATACAGGAGAACTTTAAAAATTTTTAACATTTTATTATGGAAATATATATAAAAGGGATAAGAGCACCATGAATCTTAATTTCATTTCTGAATCCCATTACTCAATTTCTAAAATCATTAACTTTCTGTTACTCTCATGTAATCTATCCATTATCCCCTCAATATGTTTTCTGGGGGCTGGGGATTTGGCTCAGCGGTAGAATGCTTGCCTAGCAAGCTGGAAGCCCTGGGTTCGGTCCTTGGCACCAAAAACAAAAACAAAAAAATAAAATAAAAATATGTTTTCTGGTGGGAACCCAGAATACTGAACAGTATACCTCAAGAATAATATGACATTATTCTTGAGTAACAGGCATCTCTGGCAAACAAGGGCTTAAAATAACAGCAACAAAACATTATTTCATACTTAAAATTATTATCAACAATTTTCACTATCATTTACATAGTTCATGGCTAATTTACAATAATTTTCCAAAAAAAGACTTTTGTAATTCCCTTTTATGAAACATACAGACAAGGGTCATGCATTCTACTTGTTTGATGAATACCTTAAATCTCTTTTCATTTTTAGTCCATTATACTTCCCTTTCATTGCCATTTATTTTGAAGGAACTGGATCATTTGTTCATAAAATTTTCTATACTCTGGGTGAATGGTTTCACACTCATAGTGTGATTTAACATGTTCTTAAATTACCCATATTTTGTGTAGATGAGTAATTAGATCTAAAGGTCTGATTACACTTAGGTTCAAATTCTTTTCATCACAAAATTACCACAGGTACTGCTATGTAATTCCTTTTGCATCATATCAGTATATACCTGTCTTCCCCCATGATGTTAGGATTGATCAGTGGGTCCAAGGTGTTGTCATTTTGACCCTCCCCTTATAAAGTTTGTTATTGTTCTTTCACACAATAATCTGATTGATTATTGCTTCTTACATCAATTGTTTCAATACAAGTTGTTGAATGGTAATTTCCTAATCTTACTATTTCTTCCCTCATTTATAAGCTCTAATTTTTTTACAATGAAAAACTTAAAACTCATCAATTATTTAATGACTATGAAATATAGCCTGTATAGAAAAGTCACAAAAATGTTTAATTTTTCCCTCCTGTATCCATTTTTGTTCAAAAATGACCATCGTGAACTCAGAATACTTATATACAGTATTGACTACATTTCAGTCTATGGTAATTATCTTCCTACTTTGATGCTTAAACTGTTTTAACTGTCAGCAGTTGGAGCTTCTTTAAATTGGCTTAACAATCTCTTACAGTTAAGGCATGACATGATGTGCTGTAATCATTATATGGTTCCTGTCCTAGACATGAACATTTGTTATTTCTCCCAAAAGTGTGGACTCCTTTAATGGGGAATGGTATTTAGATACAAGAACCCACATACTAGGGGTATTTCTTGTCACTAAATTGGCACTGCTTCTCAGTGTTTTGAGTAAGTAGGATGGGAAATACATACTTGTGAAAGAGAAAAATTATTGTGAGAACTCACATGCTGACACTATCAACAAAATTAAAGAACTTTCTTTTAATTTTACATTTAGATATTTGGGTATTTTATATTTGGTATTTTCCTTTTAGGCCTAAATTTTAATCATCAAAGGTATTCATTTGGTTTTCCTAATATGTATTAGTTTCAAAATAATAAGATAACCATTACAATTAATAGGGTATGTCAATATATTTAAATTTTTTTCCATAATTTTATTGAGAAACAAATGAGACAGTTTCAAATCAAATTGGTAGGACAGTTTCAATAATGAACACATTGCATACATTCCTCCTAGTGGTTAATTAAAATTTTGAAGTTTAAAAAAATCATTTATTTATTTAGTACAGGGTCTCACCATGTATCTTGGACTTGTACTGATCCTCCTGGTTCAGCCTCCCCAGTGCTAGGATTACAGACATATGCCACCATGCCCAGTTTTGGGGGCTGGTACAATTCACCTGGGGTTCCGGGCCTGTCATGGCATGTGGTACTGGGGATTGAACCCAGTTCCTTGCCCTTGCCAGGAAGGCACTTAGACTGCTAAACTCTCTCCCCAGCCCCCTTTTTGACGTTAGGATTTGCTCTGCTAATAATACTCTGAAGTGACTTAAAATTATTCTCCATTTGAGGCTGAAAATAGGAGAATCACTATGAGTCCAATTTGTGTAATGAGACCCTGTAGACCATGTACTAAATACATTTTAAAAAAAATAGTTACTGATTATCAGATGTCGCTTCATGATTTAAGGGTAAAATTTAAAACACCATCATTTAGAGGGATGTTCGTTTCTCATAAGTAATCATTCTTAATGTTATTTGGGTTTATCTTCCCAATGTTTACTCCTGAAAATATATGTATATATTCTCTTCTCACTTATTACACAAAATTAATACTGTATACTATATACTCTTATATATATTGTATTTCTTCACTCAATCTCTTCACTAAACTAGCAGGTTAGATTTCCTGCTTTTATTTTGTACCCACACAATGGCCCTTTACTGTTTTAAAATTTTTTTACCATTGCCTATTAATGGATGACTTCATTTTGCTTTTGCTTTAATAAACAATCATATGCATGTGCCATTTCATCAGTTTGCATTTCCTTTTTCACATATGTATCAAGTGAGCAGAAAATGTGTACAGTGATTCACAGCCTCACTGCTTAAACTTGCTGAAATCCAATACAAATACATAGTTGAATTAAAAGCCACTCCATACTCAGCTAAAATTTTTGAGATTTAGATACTGTGGGTAATTACTAGATCCACTTTTTTATTGTATGTTTTGATCACACCTCATATTGGATCCACTTTTTAAACAAATGAATACAGTCACTGGTTTAACAAAAAGGTGGAATTATTTGCATCAAAGAGAGTTTTACATCCTGGCAGTTCTAAACTGAAAAACTTAAATGCTGCATAGACATAATTATAAAAAATATGAAAATAAATTTGATTTCAAGAGTTGAACAAAAATTAACATTTTATTTAAAATACTTATCTCAACTTTTGGTCTTATGCAAGCTTCAATTTACTTATATAAAATAAAGTTCCTCTGAAGAAGGGCCCCTAACAACTGTAATGCTCTTTTTTCCTGTGAGAAATGGCCTGGAATGCTAGAAGTAGCAGCTGCTGCAGATAATATTCCCATCTTCGGACAATACATTTTCCTACGTAAGTACTGTCATTAGTAGAAGAGCAAACAGTTCCATGTGCTTTCAAATATAAGCTTATCTAGGTTTTAATTTCACAATGTATTAACTGAGGATGTTGAATTGAGAATATTTTTGTGCAGCTAATTAATCAATACTAAAACATCCCTAACAAGTGGGTACTTTCAAAATTAATGACATCAGAGTAGTATTAATATAGTGAAGTCAATGGGTATCAGTCCACGTGATTCAACTTCAAAGTCCACATTTGTTTATATAGGTCCTAATTAGTTTCACTAGGATTCTTTCGCCATCTCTAATTCCCAACCAAAAGACATTATTTCTGACTTCAGGATGATGTCTCATACGTATCAACTACTGGAACTCTTGGGTTTTTACCATAACATATTCTCTCATTTGGATTTGCAAAGCACATCATTAGTATTAGATGTCAGAGGTGAACTTACAAACAGTACTGATGTCTAAAGCTTTCAGTGTTTGTAGCTTTAAATTTGGAAACACGACCAGCTCCTAATACAAATAAAAGTGTTATCATAGAAGCTGGCCAAAGGGCCAATATGCTTATTAAAACAGCATTGTAGAAATTATAAAGGAAAGAAGGGAAAAGATTAGAGAAAGCAGAACATTGTCTTTGTGCTTCTTTAAAAATCACCTCAGAACTAACAAAGTACAGGGCACAGAGAAGCAATCCAGTATGCCTGACTCACAGTATGAAAATAAACCAACATAGCTTTTATCTTTCAATGTGGGAACCATTTGACTTGTTGTAAAGGACTGATAGCTAAATTAAAATTTGAAAGATTCCTGATATTTTCAGCCTTATAATAGCTTAGCTCTGTGCTGTGTGAAAGCAGTAGACATAAAATATATATTAAATTGCTTCGTACTCAGAATTTTAATACCAATGTCCACAAATGCATGTCTCAAGTATAATCCTGTCATTTTAGAAGCAGAAGAAAACACATCAATAATGTATATTACATGCTATAAATTCAGCTTCTTATGTTATACATGCCAATTTATTTAAAAATCCTGAATCAATTTTAAGATTGGGAAAAATGTGAATTAAAACTAGTTT